GGCTTTTCCAGATCCCTAAACCCCATTTCCTCTCTGGTCCTTGGAAATGGAGATATGGTAGGGATTCAAACTCTTAGTTTGGTATCCTCCCTGAATAAACGTTCTTTCAGAGACCCTAGATTAGGGTCTGAAATGGAGGGCAGGGGGTTGAGTAGATGGAGCCAAGCTGGGGGAGCAGTTAACTGGGGGAAGGAGGGAGACATGGTGCATGCATGAGCACTCAAGCACACTCATGCACACCTCTTCTGCAACTGAGCTCTCAAAGCTGGTCTACTGAGATGCCGGGCTTGGTCAGGGTGGCTCAGAGCACCAGAGAGCAGCAGCACCATGCAGTGCAGAGAGCAAAAGAGCTGCCTCTCATGCGCTTAGAGCTGCTTAAGCACAGTTCTGTTTCAGCAGGCACAGCATCAGAATGAATGCTTCTCCATAGGGAAAACCAATGTGAGCAGAGGCCAACCCACAGAGGTCATCAGCTGCCCATCTCCATTCAAATCCAGCCCAGGCCAGTAAATAACCAGACTTTTGCCATCTGATGGCAATGCTGACAGATCAACTATTGATCCAGCCTCCCCTTCAGTGCTGGAGGAGAAAAAAGAGGCAGCTGGGAAGAGGTTAAAGTCATGTGAGCAGAAATGACCCTCCAGGCGTAGAATGATCTGAGACAGCAGCCTTGCACACCTCATTCCGGCTTGGGGCAACGAAGCCAACCTCCTTCAGGTGTGCTAACCCCCAAGAGGGCTGAGGCTGGAAGCCACACAGTCCCCTTCATCTGGGATGCCTGCCATCCATCACCCCTACCCTAAGCACATCCCTTAGCCCTGAAAGAGGGTGCTGTTTAATCCATCACTTGAGTGAGAAGGTCTCCAAGTTGGCACCAACCTATAGACCAGGGTCCATGAGAAATTCTAAAAATAGAGACACAGAGGGACCTTGGAGAAATAAGTGTGGCTCACTCGTTACTTGGAGCACATACTATGGAGCAGCCAGTAGGAGATAAAGAAAGTCTGCAAAGGAAAGGTAGGTTGGGTTTTGGAAGTTCCGCCCCTCTCCAAGACTGGCTTGACAACTACAGAAGCCCATGCAGAAAATGTAAGCAGAGCCTGCTAATGTTTTTATTTTTCTCTTACTTTCTTAACCAGCTAACTCCCAGACCTCTTGCAAGTAGGAGAAAAGCAAACTGCAGAAAATTCCTGATGACCCTGAACTTTCACTTGCCATTTATCAAAGCATCACCCTGGGATCTCTAAGGTCCGGGCCACTCAGGAAAAAAAGCTCCCAGGGAACTGCCAGAAATCATTTTACAAGTGCTCTCCTGTTCTCTTATTTAATCATGCTGCACCCCCACTCACCCCACCGGACGCTGAGAACTTCCCTCCTGCACCTCACAATTAATGCCGCCCAGGATCAGTCCCCGACTTTGTGCTCGGTTATCCTGGAGGCTCCCCAAATTTCCACATTCATTAGCATCAAGACCCCGAAAAGAGGCACCTCAGGAAAATCCACAAGCCTTGGTGGGCCAGGAAAAGGCGCTCCAGGTAAATTCATGGTCTCTAAACACATTTTGCTTCCCAGCCACTTTCCTTTGGACTACTTCACTTGAAACCAAAAATTCATCTCTATCTCAGCTTCTGCAGCCTCTGACTGTTTAGCAGCAGATTGTCAGAGCTTAAGGCGCTGCTCTGTCGCATCAATAAAACTCAGGCGGATACACGTGTGCCCCCCCACCCCCAAACACACACACACACCCCTTCCATCTCCCTTCAAGGGCGAGGAGGCCCAAAGGAGAAGAAAGGGAGGGGCAGCCAGGATGGGAGCACCCCAGATAAATGGATATTTGAAACTCAAACACATGGCCTGGGACCTACACCGCACGTGTTAATTACCACACATGTGCCCATAAAGGAGTCCGTGAAACACAAGGGGCCCAAAGAACAGAGCGAGGAAAGGACATTCCAAGGGATTAAGTAAATACTCTGAAGTTCTGACCCTCCTCCCCTCCCGGAGCACATGCATCTGGGTAAGATAACAGCACTTCCCGCCCTCCTTCGCCCACGTCTCCCCTCGGGCCCCACACCTGTGGACCCAGGAGCCGTAGCAACCCAGGCCTCCCGTCCTGGGCCAGACGGCTATGACCTGCTACCACTACCTCCTGGCCTCTCTCCCTCCTCCCTTCCTCCTGCTATCTCTCTGGGCCTCCTCCCCCAGCCTCCTTTTGCTCTGCCTTTCTCCTCTCCTTCGGAGGACGAATTCCTGGCTGGCAACCAGACTCCTCGTCTCGCACAATATGCCTTTTCATTCCCTCCAGGCAGAGAGAACCGATCCCTCCAAGTCCTGTCCATGGAGCATGTTCAAAAAGGCAAGAGAATGGGAAAAGAAAAGGTTGGGTCTGCTCCTCCCCTGCCGCCCCCACCACTCACACACCAGACCCCTGGCCTTGCCTCCTTTCTGGCCATACCCCTCACCCTGCACAAGGGTGCAGTCCTAGCATCTCTCAGCGGCAGGTCTAGGCTGCGAGCTCCAGCTCTAGGGAGATGCCTTCTAGGAGACCCCACATGTGGGCACAGGCTCAGACAAGGGGCCTTTGTGTCTTCCCACCTGCTGCCCTCTGGAGCACATTCCATTCTTAAGTGGCAGCTGAAAGAGGGACCTCGGCGGGCTGACACAGGATATTATGAATGCCCTCTTGCACCCTGTCCCCATTCAAACCCCAGCTTCCCAGACAGGTGTGGCTTCAGGCCCTTCCTACAGGTGGTTGAACTAAACCTGCTTTTCACTGCACTGCCCACAGCAGACAAAGAGATCAGCTCCTATGTTGATCCTCCAGAGCAGAAGGAAAGAGAACCCACTCGGCAGAAGTCAAGTTTCCAGGAGCAAGTGGGCCCTAGCATCCTCCCCAGGCCTTTGCACCAAAGAGGAAGCCTCCGCAGAACCATCTGGGAAGGAGGAACCCATTCGAGGTAGAGGAGCAAAGAGCGGGAAACCAAGTGACTTATCTCTGCGATGAGGCTTCACACTCTACCCCCCTGTTCCCTGCACCACCCCCGGAGGAATCAGATTCCCCTGCCCTCTTCTAGCTGGATCCCTGAGAGCCCAAGAGTGACCATAGGTCTGTTTCTTATTGTCATCCGTAGAGTGCAGAGCCTCATCAACCTGGAAAGTACTTCTCTGTGTCATTTAAGAACCAAAATCCTATGGTTGGCCTTTCTTGGTGCGGATGGTTTATTCAGCATCATGCACTCAGTTCCCTTTGAAATCTAGGTGGTCAGTTTTGCATGACTGCCAATTTTTTTTTCTACCATCAAGACGTCATGCCCAGGAATAAAGGTGATGTTCCTGAAGTTGCAACAAGCAAAACTGCAGGCAGCTCCCTTTTCCAACCCCATAAACCGTAGACATATACACACCATTCACAGTGTTGATGATTTCAGGTCGTTGCAAAAAGAATCGTTCACGCCCCTCTCCCACTTTCCCATCTAGAAGGGAACCATCTTTTGTTCTGGGAAGGACCTAGAAAGGCACTTGCTCCCTTCTTTTTATCCATTTACTCATTCCTGCCCACAGAAGGGGAGCAGCTCGTCTGGTCCATTGGTCCATGTTTTCTAGCAGGTGGTGGTATGACCATGCTCCACTTCCACGTCTTCTTGGAGCACCTGCATTTAGGGGCAGCAGGTTCTCCGGGCTCTCATCTCCTGCATTCAGGCAGGGTGAGTTTGCCTCCTCTTCCTGTCCCATGGAATAAGCACTTGGGGCAGGGTCCAGGGCTATGCCTTGGTCTCCCTGAGACTGCGTGGGTAGGACAAGCCTGTGCACCTCACACAGATCCCCAGCAGGCCCAACTCTCCACGTAAACTTGTGAGCATGATGTTCCGAAGACCCAGATTCAGGTGGGAAGCCTCAAACTTAGCCAAGGTTTCCTGTCTGGGTTTTACCTGAGAGCCCAAAATGGGGGTTCTGGAGTACTTACATGTGCAGTGAAATTGATACTTGTTTTCCATGAAACTACCAGCTCTCTGTGTGTATGTCGTCCTGGAGGTAAGTAGCAGTGAATCTTAAGCCTCAAACTGTCTTTCATCCTGGAAATGATGGTCAGCATATCCAGGGACCTCACGTTGGCTGCTCCACTAAACAGCACTCAGACAATTGCTTTAATTGGGGCTAGCTACGTAATTTGTAGGGCCCAGTGCAAAATGAAAATACAAAGCCCTTTGTTCAAAAAATAGGAAAAAAGCGCCATTAGGGGCACTAAAATATAAAGTTTTATTCTCTCTTCCATAGTCTCTCTCTTGACTTGTCACAGTGTTTTTCAATTTTCTATAATGTTGTTTTAGGTAAAGAAAAATTAAAATTTTTAGCATACTATGGAAGCCCCATAGCATGCATCACAAAAGCTATATGCAAATGGGGCAACAAGGATGGGCAGTGGAGACGCATATTGCACATGTTTCTTCTGCTCATGCTTCACCGTCCCATCAGACTTGACTTACAAAATACAAGTTCAAAGGCAAAAATTAAGAGTTTCAAGACAACAACTGCACAGGTCACAAGCCTATGAAGCCATCCTAGTCTTAGTGAAGAGAATCTGGATGTGCTAGAACAATTATTAAGGAGAATCAGTGAGGACAAAAATGTTCAAATGGGTTTCCACATAAGACAGCCAGGGCAGACTTGGGCACGCCTACTTTCATAATCCTTTTTGGTTTAATGCTGGCGACATTGGTAGCTGATTGACTGAAACTTCCAAGAACCAAGATTTTCAGGGTTCCTGTCTGCTCTGTGCACTGCACTCGCTCACCTCCCTCAGAAATTCTGGGAGCAAGGTCCTCACCACTGTCTGAGTCTTACTTACCTCTGGTGCTTTGGGGAGGAAAAACAGAATACAAATGGAGATTCCCACAGGGCACTGTAACTCTCACCCCAGGCTCCTTCCATCTTGTCTAAGAACTCCTGCGTGGACTGGCTTTAGAAGCAAACATTTAGATAAAGCGTAAAACTCTACTCACCTTTCCTTCCTGAGTTACCCTGGCTCAGGGGCTTGTCGGTGACTGAACCTTGGGTGGGAGGGGAAACAAAAACAGAGATGTTCAGAATGCATTGAGCTTGGTTTCTTTCAAAGAGTTGGCAAAGCCTGATATTATGAGCATATGGCTCTGTGTATATATATTACATACACATCTAGGGACGTTATATACAAAGTTAGTACATACATACATGTCGAGTGGGGTTTGTTTAACATCAATGTCACTGATAGCACAGCACTGTTGAGAAGAACCATGATTTCCAGGTTCCAGGCAATAGTCTTCACCAGATTTCTACAAAATTCCACATCCACATAACTCCCTTGTTGAACATTCAAAGAAGTGCCCCTCACCTCCACTACCCATCTCCCCTACTTCCCACCAACTCCATGTTCTGAGCCATATCTACTCAGTAGGGCCAACCGAAGAGAAACCCCCTCTTACTGCAAATGCAATGACTTGACATCCCTTGCTGGTTAGGGCAGGAAATCAGTGATTTTCCATCTGCATTAACTAGAAAATTGTTGGCCCAATTGTACTGAATGGGCCAAAATAGTCTGAGGCATGGAAACAATTTTCTAGATGCAGCCTGTTCCTCAAGGAGGGGGTAGTGCGTGTGTTGGACCAAACACTTTGCCCTGCATATGCTGGGATGCCATGGGCACCCATCCTATGGTCCTGACCCTAAGGCACCTGTCTTCTCCATGAAGCCCAAACCCACACATGCAGGGCAAGGCCAGCTCATCCAGAAGGGCATCTGTGGAGGTCCCACCAACAAAAGAAAAGAAAGAATCCATATTTTCTCAGTCTATATCATACCCCTTATTCATATACTAGTTTTGTGAGAATTCAATTCTATTACCTGGCATGACTTGTTTCTAGTGCATTTGTTTGCTTTAAATGAAACTTTTCAGGTCATTTGTAAGGAGGGCTCATTCCTGCCCCTCCTCACACCAACCCCAAAAGTTTCCAGTTTCCATGTAGACCACAGATAAAGTAAACTTTCCTTTTTGGCCTGCAAATCTTGGTTTCCTAATGTAGATACTTACAGCCCTCTCCACTTATTTTTCCCTTTATATAGCAGGGCAGGTAGAAAAAAGGAATAAATTTTGTAAAAGAAAGAAAAACATTAGGATAGCAGGAGTACTAGCCTTTGGAATTTCCCATAAGTTTTAGAATAATGTTTTATAATTTTCTTGCACTTAAAAATTAAAAATGAGTAAATAAATAAAACCTCATACACCCAGATATGGAGAAATAGGATGCAGCTGGTAGGTGGGATCGGCTTTTTTGAATGAGGGCTGAGCTGCATAGTGAATTAAGGGGGTGACTCCCAAGTCCCTTACCATCTGAATGGAAGTGGAAAGTGTGGGGCTTGGGTAAATCCATAATCCACAATCCCAAGAAGTTGACCCAAGAGCAAAATTTCTCTATAATTATAAAGTCAGAAATAGAAAGGACTTCATTTTTGCCATGGACTAGCCCAGTGGGTCACCATGAAGCAGTGGTCCCCTAGCTTGTGTCTAATCATCAGAACCACTTGAGAAGCTTCACAAACATGTGGACTCCACGTCTCACTCCAGACCTACGGAATCAGAATGTACAAGGAGGAGTCTTGACACCTGAGTTCTTTTTAATTCCCCAGGCACTGCCAATGACAGCCAGATTTATGGGCCACCATTTTGAAAGTTTTCCATTACTCTACATTACATTGTTCAAGGGTGGCAAACACATTGCACATAGGCCCCCACTCACCTCTCCTGGGCCCATGACAGACATCACTAATTGATCATCACAGCCTTTGGTGTTGAACTCCCATGCGGTCTTGAAATTTGTCTCAATTAAGTGCTCCCAGGGCCACTAGCAACCAGAGCACACAGCTAAAAACTTACATGCCATGCTCTAGGGGTGACAGTCAACGCTTGGGAAAAGATCATTGAACCAGAAATCTAAACTCAAAATAAATAAATATATACACAGGCATATTCTGACCCTGACAACTGACTACATAGTAAGCGTGTTTGAGTGGAATCCTCCCTGACCTGGAAAAGGACTCATAACCGCCACTCATCTTTCAAAGGTTCCTCCACAAGATGTAGGAGACCAGCCAAGAGGTCTCTCTCCAACCCTCTTCTTTCTTCCCACCCCTCCCTACGGTACCTGAACATACAGGAGTTTTATTCTGCACTGAAGAGCCACTGATGGGCTTCCCATCTGGGGTGACACACCAGCAGTACCCTGTGTAAGTATGGCACTGCACCTGTTCAGGGAAGTGGGAAGGGGAAGAGAAGCATAAGTCTAGGGTCACAATATCAATAGTCATGCCCCCCCCCCCGTCAAAGCATCCCCAGTGTGGTGGAGGAGCTCCTTCCACCTCTCACCCCAGCATCTGTCCCCAAAGGGTCTCTAGCGGGTGGGCCAGTCAGTCAACAGCATTGATGATGTGTTTTCTGCGTGACTTCCATGCACAACCACAGCAATTTATCTACTTCTTTCTTATGACTTTTAATGCTGAATACCTTATAGCCTACTTAGATACATCTTTTGTGTTTTTCCTGCAATGGTTCTCACCAATACCCTCACATTTTTTCCCCATGCATTGGCATACACTTCCATCCAATTGTCAAAAGTTCTGAACTAATTTGAACTAATTTGGCAAGTACAAGTTGGAATGTCACTATTGTAGATTGATATGACCCTCTTTAACAAGCAGAGACAAGGAGTAAGCTTTTCTTCTTTGTCTAGCTCTTTACAGCATCCGTTCATATAGTCAGCCTGCCTATTGATCAGGTGGCTCTCCCGAGACAAGGGCACACGTGATGGGGTTAAGGACAAGGTCACTTGTGCCTGCAGGTTCCAGTTCTAGATGCCCTGCTGCACCACTATGTGATCTTCCTCAAGCCTCCAAGATCAGGTCCACCCTGTCCGGGAACAGTAAATGAAAATGAGGCTTTTTGCTTCATTCAAGGTAACTCTTCTTCCTCTTCTAATAGCTGTCACTCTATCCACCTCCTCCTGCCCCATTCCACCAACCTCTTCCCACCCACTTTCTACACGGAGTTACTCAACACAAATTGGGGCATCACTCCCCTGCTTAAAACCCCTCAATGATTTGCCAGACTCAGGATGGAGAATAAGCTCACGATCCTGGAGGACCAAATGAGCAAGTCTGCACAGGACTCAAGGTCCTCCATGATCTGCCTATCCCCACAACCTCATTTTACACACCCTCCATTCCAGCCACAATGAACCCTTTGAAGTTCACAAACACATCCTAGTATCTCATGATTCTGAACCTTTGCTCCAACTATTCAATCTGTCCAGAATACCATCCCTCAACCCATCCACCCCCAAGCCACTCCTAATCTCTTTGTATTCCCACCCTCTCCACAATACACCTTCTCTGCAAAGCAGTCCCAAACTCCTCGCCTCCTCACCCTCTTTCCTCTGACACTCCACACACCCTGGTTCCTCAAATTCAGAGTCCTTATCAGAACGAGCTATAATGGTTGATCTGTCTAATCTATCTCCTCCTCTAGACTGTGACCTCCTTAAGACAAAGGACTGCATACTGGTTACTTCTATATTCCATAGCATAATGCCTGAAATTTATTGTAGTGTTTGATGAGTTGCATAAATGCATGAATTATCATATTTCCTTAGTTCTTAGTCTCCATCAATTCTAAAAATGTAACATTAAACAACCCCACCACATTAAATATAGACCTCAATTATAAGATATGTGTCAAGTGCACAGATATTAAAGTGTGAAAAAATGTGCCTCTTGGGATCAAGGACATATTGGAATGGAGGATAGACAGTAATAGCATACAAATTGAGTGGTGAGATATACAAGGGGTACAGATGTAAAAGAGAGATCTGACAGCCTGGGTAAAATCCGGAAGTTATCAGTAAGGCAGAAAAACTACAGAAAGGCTCCTGCTCTTGTGTGGATACCAAACACGGTAGTTTTCGCCAAGACTAGCCATTTCATAGGGACCTACCCACAGAGATCAGGACAAGAACAACATGGAGGGCATCTTGTTCCTACCAGTATGATGACTATGTATAAATGAGGCATTTACCTCACTGTCCATGCAAGGAACTCTATTCAATGCCTTTACCCCAGTACCATAACACACTCCCACTTCACCTCGTGGAGACAATCCATCAACCCCATGGCCATGGTTGCTGCCCCAGAGGCTCACCCAAGGCCAATATCTTGGGTTGGGTCAGTGCTAGCTTCTAAGGAGGCCTAACAGTGGAATGGATAGAAACCCAGACAGACCTAGGTTTGAATCCTGGTCTAGCCAGTTACCAACTAGGCACGTTACTTAGCTCTTTGAGCCCCATCTATAAAAAGGGGATAACAATGCCAAAGCTGGAGGGCTCCGGCGAGGAAAACAGACAGTGTGAGTCCAGTGCCTGGCATGGGGTGATGGCCAGATACAGGGTGCCTGGGGCAATGATTGCTCGCAGCTGGGTCAGAAACACCTGGCAAGCTGGACTCCTCACAGGTAGAGCTCCCCTAGTAACCCCCGGAGGCTTGGGTGGGAAGCGCTGCTGGAACCTGGGAGTGCACTCCTTCAGATTCTCTCAGCCCTGCAGGGATAGTTCCTAGAGATGACTCCTCACCAGGGGCAGCATTTTAATGGGGCTTGGCTGGCTGCTCTCTCCTCCTTGGCCAATAAACACCTCTGGGGACACCTGTCCCTGGACTGGGTGGCCACGCTGACTCACTCCCAGCCCCCTTGGCTCCCATGGCCAAGGCCGGCCTCCCTCTCCATGAGGATGGTACCCCCCAAGTCCGGCACCCGAGGCTGGGCCTCTGGCCCAGTGCTGCCTGCTGGAGCCAGGTGCTGCGGTCAAGCAGGCCACAAGAATGGCTGCATGGAAAGCCCCCTGCTCCCAGGCAGGCAGAGGTCCCAGCCACAGCGACTGGGGACAGAACTACATGCATGAGCAAGAGGCTAAGCCCAAAGCTTTGTTTCAAGGGATATAACCTGACCTCCGGGCTCAGCGGGTCCCAAGGGCCACATGCTCACTGAGTGCGCCCATTGTATCCCTGCGAGCACATGGACACTGCCTCCCAGCCCCCAGCCGGGCCCACAGGCCCAAACACAGCCCCTTTCTCCCCAGGGCCCTCAGCATTTTCCTCACACCAGGCTCCAAGGAACAGACTCCAAGTTACAAAATCCTCAGGCTGGGAGCTGCTTCCAAGTCCTACAAAACTCAAATTGAATGAGGAATTGTTGCCACGGTCCCCTGAGGCCACAGCAATGGGCACACCTACTCCAGGTGTGCTGCAGGGGAGGGGGCCTCGGTGAGCAAAAGAAGACCCAGAGGACCTGAGCGGGGTCTCGGGACCATGAGAACTGCAGGAGGGGCCCAGCAAGGTCCCTTCCCTGTGCTAATGGAGCCCCAAGTGAATCAGCCCATGATTCTCAATCGAGGGGTTGTTTGTAAGTTGTCTTGCAAAGTTTTCAAGATGTCTTCTTGAAGAAAAAGAAGTTACATGGAGACAGAAAGTAGTAGTCATGGGGTCAGACTTTAGCCCGCCTTCCCTAGGTTGACCATCTCCACCACTCACGTTAGCCACTGAACTTCCAACCCTCTGTGCCTTGGGAAGGTTCTTAATCAAACCAAGCTTCAGACTGTCCATGTCTCTTTAAAAAGGGATGATGATGACACCTACATCACTCGGTTGTTGGGAGGATTAAATTAGACAATGTAAATAAATCACTTAGCACACATGGTAAGGGCCCAGTTAAGCTTAGCTATTTATTTTTATTATCATTGTATTATTCTTCAGCAAACTATTTGTACACTCAAAAAGGATACAGCCAGATTCTCCGATGGGAACCAAAGAACATCCTAGTCTGACCAGTCCCAGGGGAGCGGGCAGTCTGAACTCAGCAAAAAGTTTGAAAAAGTTTGAGTGGAGGAAGGGGAAGTTCATTTTCATATAAAAACAGTTCTACCACTCAGAGGAGAGAAGGAAGGCTTCTTGCAGAAAAGCAATCAGGAATGTAAATTCTATAGAATTGATAGTTTATATATACATGATCAAGATGCAAATTCTACCTAGTTTAGCTACCTCCCTTGCAAATTTGTCTCCTTTGTTCTACCTCCACCACCACGACCCCGTAGCCTCAAATTAATCAACTCTCCGACTTGATCTATGGGAAAAGCATGGGCCAAGAGGAATTGACAAGGTAATTAGCCATTTCTAGGATCTCACTGTGTGGTTCTCAAAACTCAAGGTTGTTCCGGCCCTAAAGATATAGATACAGACCATGGAACTTGCTCCTATCTCACTCTGGAACATCCTAGGAAGGCTGAAATGACAACTGATGGGTCTTCCTTAAGAGACAAAAAGTGTTTGTACATCACCCTAAGTGAGGTTACTCTCTGTTCAACAACATTGCTGAACATAACTGGTATCCTAAAAGTACTTTAAAACAGTGTGTCTTTAGGTAAGTGAGTTTCATCTCTGACTTATATACTTAAGTATTTTTGGCAAGAAGCCCTTTGCGTAAACAGCCCAGTGGTATATTTCAGGTCAACCTCTGTCCAAATTAAGACAAATTTGAAATTATTTTAAGCCTGAATCTATTTTAATCTTCAACATTATCCCAACTCCTGGACATGTGGAAGAATGTGGGAGGCTAGCACTCCCAACAAATGGAGTTGAGTGACTGATGAGCAGAGAAGAGCAGAGCAAATACCAGCTCACAGGATAAACAGATCAGAGTCTGAATGGGAGGAAAGTACCAAGAAAAACCAAGGAGACAAATGGACCATGCACACAGACAACTGTCACCCTCGGGTGCCAGGTCCAAAATGGAAAACACCACCTTCTACCTTTACAAGAGCTTGTCAATCACCACCACTGACCTATGCCTATTATCTCATCTGGGCCTCAAAGTCGCCCTGTGTACACGTCCTTTACAGGAGAGGCACAGGGAGCAGAGGTTACTTGTTCAAATGTCACAGCTAGGTCATAACAGCAGAGGAATTTGAAACCCCATCTCCAAGCACTCACAAAATTTAAGAACTGACAGAGCTGGAAAAAAACCTTAGAGATCCCCAGCCTAACCCAAACATTTTACAAATGAAGAAACCAAGGCCCAGAGACAGAGAGGTAGCATGATCGCCAGTACCTAGTCCTGGCAGATGGAAGTCCCCAGAGTTGGAAGGGAGACAGGGAAAGGCATGTTTCCTAGGGCTGTGTCTAAGGAAACTGATAGTCTCTTTGTG